TAATTTAAAAAAAAAAATCAATTCAAATACTGCCTCGAGATTCATGTCCAGCTATAATTTAATATTATTTTCTTATAATTTTTTTAATGTATAATGTTTGCCCTCCCTATAAAATGACTGAATGAAAAATAAAATATATTTAAGATAACTTTTTCTATTTTATAATAGTTTAGATAAATATTTTATCATGTAAGGAAATAAGATGAATTATGATAAATCTCAAAATAATTTATAATATTAAAATATTCCCTTAATTCAAATTACTTGAATAATTTTATTATCTAAATTGTCATTACTTCATCCATTATTTTTGAATATTTTAATTATCTTATAACTTTATCAACAGGAAGAATAGACTTTCCCAAGAAATACAAGTAACTATTAAGAGATTGGGGTATTTGTATCCTGATTATACTTAGTCTCTCCATCCAAATAATTCTCATCTTACTCAGTCATTTGAGAAAAACTTCAACTTTGATAAGGATAAGAATGTTAGTCATTAGTAGCTACTTACTCGTTGATTGGGTAGCGAACTTCGTGCTAGGCCAACTAAAGAATGCAATGGATGTTTCTTCATCTTTTAATGTTATCTTTGCTTTTTGGTCTCCCTTCCTTATCCTTCACCTCGGCGGCCCTGACACCATTACTACCTGCTCTATGGAATACAATGAGCTATGGGCTCACCATCTTCTTGGCCTTATTTATGAGCTCATCATCGTCTCCTATGTCCTTTTTCGCTAGCTCCCTGCCCAAAACTCGTTTGCTCACCCCAACCATGTTGATATTTTTAGTTGTTATCATCAAATACATAGAGCTCTTACTCTCCTTAAGTGAAGACTTCCGTAGCTCCATTGGCTCATCTGCTAGAACACTACCAACAAACATTTCTTCAACCATTTCAAACATGGAAAATTTGAATGCCTTGAATATACTTTTGGGATATACTCTAATAACAAGCCTTACTTTGTTGATGTTATTCGTGTTGAGGTGTATGAGGCAATTGAAAATTTGGTTGAGGAGATGACAACAAAGAAGATTTTGTCAATGACATATATGGAACTTACTCATGCTTATGATGAGCATTATACCAAAGCTGCCGTAAATCACTCTAGAGTTTGGTATGTTCTCCGAGCTCTTTGCTCAATTTGTATTTTACTTTCTCGCTCTATATCTTGGTGTCAAAGGATGATTTTGATAAACTAGTTTTGTTCATCACTTGTGTCATACACGTAGCCTTGACTCCATGGATATTATTATGCTCTTATTCTCAGATTGATGATGGTTACTGTTCTCAATGTGAAGAAGCTATGTAATTAAGCAAGTTGTTCGCTGAGAGCATTTTTAGAATTAAAAGGGTGTGGCTAAAGAAAAAGTATTGGTCAGGAGAGATGCTAGAATTGAATCTAATTAGTAATTGTATTCATAATTTTGCACCAAATAAAGCTCCTGGACAAAGCATGTTGGATTGGATTAAAAAAAAAGTTGAGCTTAGTGCATGAGACAGAGTTATACCTGAGTTGGAATGATGAATTTGAAACTTACTCCTTGCAAGCACAACAATCAATACAAATAACCGAAGAGCTTCAAAATATCATTGCTACACATGCACAAAGATGCTTGCTCATATCAGGGAAGAAATTTAGTGAACCAGCAGGCCTGTATGCTCTTGGACAAGTAGCACCTGTGATTGGGTTGCCTCATCAATTGTTAAGCTTATAGAGAGGTTATCATTTGATCAACAAGTTTTGATATCACATATCTCCACTGAGATTTGCTTCCACTGGGATACAAAGTTTCTATATCCCTTACATCCTCATCAAATAGAGATTGAAACAGAACATAATGATCTAAGAGAAGTAAGGAGGAAGAGCTCAGAGATGAAAGTTTGCCAGTACTTATCAAACTACACGATTTATATAGTGCTCATGCGACCATATATGATGTCTACTAAGGTAGGAGAAGCCTATTTTGGCATGTATGTTATGATATGGGTCAAATCATTCATAAAAGCGGCGATGACCCTCACTTGTTGATGCCAAATGCACAAGTTGAGGAGGCATGCAAAGAGAAGATGACTACTTTAGTAGAGGGGCTTAGATATTTATCTTTATTTGAGATAGCACAAATGCTTGCTCATTTGATGCTTGTTCTTGAGGAAGAAGAGAGATGGCATGTTGTGACCATGGTGTGGGTGGAGCTCCTATTCCAAGTGGCGTAAAATAACAAAACAATCAAGCATATGAAGCAACTAAGTATAGGAGGTGAGCTCTTAACTTTTATCATGCTTCTCACCAAACATGTTGTGTTGACACATATATCGAGCATGCCATCTTCTAACATAAATAATGCGGCCAATTAGCTGTTGTCTATGATCAACATTCTCTTGTAGAATCAAGTTTGTGTTATATGTGCATTGTTTTTTCATTATATCTTAAAATGATTGACTGTCATTTCAAAGATGATGTTAATGAAAGTTAAGCTTATAAGCATAATAAATATTCCTCCCTAAATATAGACCAATATTTTTTTCTTATGTTGATGTTTTTTTTTTTTGGAAACTTTTTATTAGACTGTAACAATGATTGTTTCTAATTTTACACTGAAGGTAATATATTATCAGAATTTTTTTATATATGTTTGAATGATGTGAAGCCTTCTTCTCTAAAATTTAGTCCCTAGTACTTAACTTTAGTGAAGCATTAACCTAAATTTTCTTATTATGATTTACTCAACCTCACATATGGTAAAGATTCAGTTTTGTATTTCTTGAATATTTGTTATATTGTTTGCGTGTGCACCAAGCACTTATTGATGAAATTTTAAAATGAAATTAGGAGAAAGAAAAAATTCAAAATTAATCATTATTTAAATTTTCAACAAAAAAAATTGTTTTACATTTAATATGAAAACATAAACTAAATTAGTAGGCATATATACTTATTTTTCTTAAAGAAAATATGTTATTATATTGATATTATTTAATATTTAGAAAAACTAACTCTTATAATTATAATCGTTCAAATTAAATAAGAAGTAATAACATAAAAGATATATCATTCATCTAAGAAGAACAATGTTTATGTTTTTAATAAGCAATTTTTCAGTAAGCAGAATAAGGTTATTGCATTTTAATCAAACAAAATGATTTTTTTTCTTATAACATTATTATTTTTGTAAGCTATAAGTTGAATGTATAGCTGAAAGCAGGCAAAAAAGATAGAATTGAAAGATAATTGAGGCCATTAATAAAATATTGATTATGCCTCCTATGAAAGATAATGAAGATGCCATGATTTTAGGCGATGATGAGCCAACACATGAATGTTATATATGCCATTGTAGATGCTTTGATTGACCATCTTCTTGAAGTGGAGACATAATGACCTCTCGATCAGAAGAATATTTAATGCCTGTCATGTTTAAGTGGTTGTGGGCATGCATTAAAGCATTGAGAATCAATTGAAGGAAGAAGTTTAACATAAATGATGAATCAGATGAAGCCCAGGGCAGAAGCAAGGTCCTAATTTGAATGGCCTTTTTGGAAGGCAATATGGTACTACTTCTGGTTATTCTTACTCAATGGATAATAAGAATATGGTCGTGATCTGGGCGAATTATTACGTCCGGTCAC